CATATACTCACCATGGCTGCATTTATTTGATCAAAAATACAGTAAAAACAGTAATACTGTGAAATATTACTACAGTTTAAAGTCCCCATGAAATCAAAATTAAAAGTTTTTTTGGGTGTTAGTATCCATATGTTAGTCTTAAGGTTATCTATAAGGCAGTGTGCTCCAAAACAGTGACAAAATTCGCATTTATAAGATATAAGCATTCAAAGCTTGCAGTTCGTCACTTCCGCCAAAACGGCTCAATGTCAATGATTTTTTTGACGTCACATCGTACTTCATCTTCTCATCAAATCTTCTGACCAATCAAACGCTCTCTAGAAGCCGAAGCGCCCACCCCCTGCACTATAAATAGAGCTGAAGCTGCGGCTGAGATCGGTCGCTTGTTCACAGTGTAGTATTTCCTGTACAGTGAATGGCACGTAGTGCACAATGCAGGCGAGAGGGAATGATTCAGACAGTGTATGCTTTCGATTGGGGCAAATGAGGTCTGGTTTCACGTTGTGTCACGTGAACCGCGGCAGCGCGCACAGTCTGATCCGGACTTTGGCTCCAGTCCAGAGATGAGATCGCACGGAGCGGATCATATGCACGAATCGGCATATATTAAACACTTTTAAAACTACACAGCCTCAGCATGATTATGATCACTATTTTGTTTTACTAAGAATACTAAACAGTACCAAAAAAAAAAACTGGTGGAAATATGCTTCAAAAATGATCCATTCAGAACTAAATTACATCTGTTTTGCCAAAACCCCAACATTACTAAATAATGGATATGACCCCTCAAAGTGAACTGCAATTAGCAAAAAAGTGATTTATAACAATAAAAACTACCTAAAGCGCAAACAATCTCTAAGCTGACAACAAAAGTTGATGTCCATGTTATCTGTCAACTAGCCAGTCTGTACTGCAGTTTTACAAAGTACTGGTTTTTGAGAAATGGAGTGAGAATATTGCACTATTTTTAAACTGAGAGAGGTAGAAAGTGCGAGGGAATGAGAAATTGCTTCTGCCATACAGAAGGCAACGGGAGCATGTCAGAGAGTTATAGCAGCACAAGGCCTTTGGGAATTGCAGCAGTGACGGTTCTGTGACACAGGAGACATCAGAGCTTGCACTCTACATCACTCACGGCCCCGTCTGTGCACCCTACCCCACCCCAGACACCTGCCCTCAGTCACGGGCTCCAGCTTGTCTGACAAGACCGAGTCAGAGACGAGATGAAAATCAATTCTTCTCCTCTGCCCCCACTTCCACTGACCACTTTTCTGTCGTTAAGTAGAAGCTGTTAACATCAGCCATCTATACGCCCTCTCGGACATGCATGTGGACATCTGGGGTCATATGAAGTTCAGTTTCATCCAGGGGATCTCCATCACTGAGGCAGCCCCTCGAATCAGAGTCTGTGACCACTTCCCAGCAGGAGATGAAAGCCAGTCACCAGCTACAAACCATGATGGATGCAGTGCTACATCCTTTAAACTGCCCACTTCTCAACCCCTGGCCTGTGTCTCTCTGCACTGCAGGCCCAGGAGAACGGCACTCGAGGAGCGTGATGGATGTGACATGCGGTCTGCTGATCAAAGCCTTGCAGGCAAACACTTATTTACACAAGACTTATTAAGGATGAAGAATGAGACGCTGTCCATGCAAGTCCCCAGTCTAAGAGTCACTAGAGAGACACCCCCCTTTTCAAACCAGCATGAATTTACATGCTGATCAAGACTGGTTTGTGCTGGTTAGTGCTGGTCTAAATCTAAATGAAATAAGATAAATTTACTCAAGAAGCAACACTGCATAAGATATTAAGACTTGTTTTCTTAGATTATTTTCAAATATTATTTTGAGTATGAGTGTGTTTGTCTTGCAGCACTGGAAAATTATTCACTTGATTTTAACTTGTTTATACTTAAAATAAGTGGAAAAAAATATCTGCCAGCACAGTGAGACAAAAAACACCAGTACTGAAAACATGCCTTAATATCTAATGCAGTGTTGCTTCTCAAGTAAATTTATCTTACTTCAAGGATTTATTTTATTTTTTATTATTTACCTCAAAAATGAGCAAGCAGCAATTCCTCACAGCAGACTCGACTCACAATTGATTTTAATAAGTTTTGAGGTTAGCAGATTGGTGAGCTAATAACACAAATATTATACATTGGTAAAATAGTCAATTTTGAAAGAACAAATTACGATACATACAATACTGAATGAAACAGAAGTATAGGTATATGCAATATCATGAATAATAAAACAAAAATCATGAACAATGAAAAATACTTTTACATGATTTATTAAATTATACTTTTTACATAAACATACATTTTTAACTTTTCCAGTTGTATAAATGAACATTAATGTATTACGTATAATGAACATTAATGATGAAGATTAGTATATAGTATAAATTAAATGAAAAATATATAATTACAGATACAAGTAATTATAATTAACTAAACATTAATATAGACTTATAAATGCTGTAAAAATGATTGTTTATTACCTTAGTTCATGATACCCAATGCATTAAAGTTAATGAATTTAACATTCTCTCTCATTGAAACTGATCTCATTTGGCATTCTGGGATTGTGTTCAATGCAAAGGATATAAGCAATGCTGCTTTAGTATTTGGCCAAAAGAAGCTATCTTTGCATCGGGAGCATTCTTTAAAATTTTGTCCAAGTAGACAGCTTACTAGATTTTGGAACCAGACTAACATACGCTCATTTTAAGAAGATAAATTTAGCAAGAATATTGCAGATTCTCTTACATCACATTATTCATGCTGCTGTGACAAAGTTACTATGTTTTTTCCCGACTTACTGATCTTCTCCATTAGGAAACACATTAGCAAATACAGCAGTTGGCCCCACCACCCCATTACTTTCTGGCTTCTGCACCGCAACTGAAACAGGGGCTGGAAAACTTCAAAAGCTCCTGATGAGCAGATTAAAATCCAGCCAGGCAGACATGATCATTATGCAATATTTATACATCCGAGTGTTTGTGGCTCACAGCAGATGAGCGAGGTCTCCTGTGGTGGACCCAGGATTAACGTGCACCAATTTCTGTGCAGAATCAGCGGTGAGATCAAAGGTGTTCTACAGCAAGTGAATATTTCAGACTGAACGATTGATTTGCTGCGATGAACCCCACCAAGAGAGGCTCACCCAGAACTCGACGCTGTTCCAAGATGAACATAATCGGAGATGAAAGGGGAACTATAAATAGAAAGCGCGAGCTGTGATCGCCACGCACCCGAGCTGAGGCTCTTGCCGCAGAACAGTAGCTCAAAATGGGGCGGAAAACGACGGCGGCTGCAGGTCTGACGGGACGAGAGAATGGGAGGTCACAGCGTGAAGAGTTTTATTGTCATAATAAAAATGTTCTCTTACCGTCACAGTCACCCAAGTGAGAAGTGTTTCCGTGCTCGACGTCTTGCTCAAAGGGAAGCCTGTGGTGAAATGGGAGAAAGAACAGTAGTAGAAACATTAATCAGCAAACCACATAAACAGGCCATAAAACTGCACCATCTCAATTACAGTAATGCCTCTGTATTTTCTCTCTCTCTCTCTTTTTTTTTAAAGAAAAACACAATTTTTAATGTTATCTTGAAGGGTACTTCTAAAATGTCTTGGTTTTGTGCTCTTGGTTTCAATAATAAGTGATATTGCACATTAAAAGCTTGTACAGGATGTGTGCAGAAACTCAATCTGCGCTCATGATCAAGTCTTGCAAACAGAGGCATCACAGTGCTCTATTAGAGATGCTCTGTGTTACCTTAAAGCCACATTAATGAAGAAAAATGACTGCAGTCGGCTCACGAATGGCTTTCTTCCAACCGCATAAGTCAAACAGAGGAAAGGCCGAAGGCTACGCACAGCAGAAGCGTGCACCGGGGGACCAGCCTCTTTCCACTACCGTCGGCAATTAGTTAAAGCCCAGGACAACAAGGCAGCCAGGGGTCTTTTACTGCCAGGGTCTTTTTTTCAGAAGATACGCTTACACCCGTGTGGTTAAACGCTTTCTGTGAAATGTCTATAAAATATAATGTTTCTACAAACTGCAGGCGCAGAGCTATAATCTCCAGAACTCCTCTGAGAGAAGATGGCTGAGTTTTTTATACTACAGTGGTGAACCACCCCGAGAATTTAAATGAGCACGCAGATTCCTTCCCGCCGCTCTCCTGAGGATGAACATTAGCCGTATCACAGCATTGAGAAGCACATACAGACTGATAAACAGCCGACAGAAAGTCTCTGAACTTGTTTTGCATATCCGCTGTTTGTGTATATTAGCAAGCGGCAGTAATTAGAACTACTTATTGTTTTTTCTGCTGTGAAATTCAATTGGTGAGAATTTTTCAGTATTATGCGAGACAGAATCGATCCACAGGTTGACCGTCCTTGGTAAATCAAATCAGATCCAGCCAGAGAGCTGTAATTGCATAACGGCACTGAGGTAAAACGGTCTCCACGTTTTGATCTCAGAATACCGGCAGACAACCTGTATTTGCACACAGAACTCAATAAAACCATCTCTCTGAGGAGGGATAGATTTTCACAAGTGTACTTAAACAGAGGCAGAACACAAAAACTAAGATTTTTTTGGACGTGCTTTATCTGAAGATGGAAATCTTGTGTAGGTAAAAAATAGGTAGGTTATGTCGGTAGGTTCATTGCCAAAACTCACCTTGTACCCGCACGGAGGAAAGAGCAGGTGCTTCCTCTGGTCCAGCCGCAGTAGGGATCCCGTGAGGCGATGCAGTTCCTGTGAAAGAACAGAAACCAGCATGAATGGTACCCCTACGGCACCAGACAGTATATAGTTTAATTCCACTGGATTTCATCCAAGTATGATCCAGCTGGTTCAGTGCACACATTAGACGTGTGACATGTGTTAGTGCGCCTCACTGGGCTGCACCGATGGCCCAAGGGCACAGACACAGAGCACGGGCTGGTGACCAGTGATCACAGGACCACAAAACTATCCTAGAGCTGAGAGCTACAGTATAAACAATTGTTGGGATTGTACTAAAAAGGACAGACGGTTCACAAAGACACTAAATGATGTCACTGTTGATATTAAAGTCATATTTTAGGCATAGGTTTAAGTTCTGGATTATTTTAAATAGCTTTATTTAAAACATTACCAATGAGTCAATGGGAGGTATAAACTATACTGTGGCTTATCATAGAATATGGGTTTTATACAATGCAAAAAACACGTCTATAAAAATAACGCATATCTTACAGGAAATAAAGCATACACTGACCTCAATATAATCTGTTATTCACATTTCTCTGGTCCTCCCTTGTTTTTGATTATAAAAGCCATTCTCTTGGGCATTACTCAAAAAGCTATGCGCATGTGTCGTGCATCATTTCTTGCCAGGCTTCCTTAAATGTATCCCAAAGCTGAGATTTATTCATCAGCTTCGATTCAGATTTAGAATTTCCCAAAGGTTTTCAATGGGATTAAAGAACGCCTTCGCTGCATGCGTGGATTGTTATTGTGTTCGAAATTACACGTTCGATCTCCAAACAGATCCTAAATACTGGCCTTGCAAGTGCCAGAAACTGGAGGTTCCTCACAATTGCACGTCTTATTCAAGACTTTGGAAGTTATTTTGAAGCTGTCACACTCTGAAGTGATTTTCAACCTCCTGTCAAAATGCTCGCTAGTCTTCTTTGACCATCCCGGCGCTTTGTATTCTGCATGGTATCTGTCTCGTGGTGCTTTGCAATAATTCACAGACATTGTGACTGTTCAAACCCAGCAAACAAGTAATACGAAATTGACCAGATTCAGCGATTTTATATAATATTTAAAAATGTAAAATAAATAAAATACATTTCTAAATAATATATAATATTTGTAATACAATATAAATTAACATAAAAAATACACAGACTATTTTTTATATAACTTTAATATTAAAATTAACAAATTACATACTGAAAATATTTCAAATAAATATCAAAATGAATTAAAAAAAATTAATATATAATATTTATAATATAATATAAAACAATATATTATTCTACAAATACAAAATAATAATATTAAATTTCTAATTTGATTTATATACAGTAAAAATAACAGACTATATGATATGTCCTCATTTAGTGTGCTAACTAAACGTGTGTATGTGCCACTCACTTCATGCAGCGGGAATAGAGTTGACAGCGTACTACAGGCACTTTGATCACGCAAGAAGGGAAAGCCAGTAGGAGGCTGTGACTGATGCGGTCCAGCGTGAGAGAAAGCAGCTGCCTGGCCTGAGGAGAGTCCGTCCCACACCTGGAACACACACAGTCCAAATCAATTTGCAACAAATTAAAAGAGTGCAGTGAGAAAGTCAAACACAATTTACACCGAGAACACACTCAAACACAGTTTGATGCAGAATGACGTGACACCGAACTTACATTGCTAAGGTCTAAACAGTCAAGCCTAACACAGTCTGATAATGTTTATCTTAACACAATATAATGTTAACAAGAACTAATGAAGCAAATCCTACACAAGCAAAACCTCAAGCTAGCTATTGCATTTCTTTCGCACTATTCTTTTAACACATTAAACATTGGAGCTTAGTTATAAAAGTTCATTTGCCATCTTAAATCTTGAAATTTCAAACCATGTCCATCCATCCATTAAAATAACGGCTTGTTATATAGTATGTTTCTAATGAACTGACACTAACTTTCACCCTCTGAATGAAAAACAGGATGAGGCGTAAAGGGCTTCAGAAAGAAAACACGTGTCATATTAATGTGATATCACATTAATGTGTTTGTCACTTTGTGCTTGGCCCCAGTAACTAATCTGATTGATATCTAGGACTCTGGCAACCACCCACTCCTCTGTGCTTTACACTTCAAATTGGCACTTACCACTTAGAGTATCTCTCTTGCACCTGCCATGCTGGCTAGAAAACACATTTGTTTGTATATATACGCACACATAAATATGGATAAAGAAATGCTTACGATAATGGCCTCGATAGCAGCGGAGAAATCATTAGTACTTTATGCATCGGATCTGAGTAATGAGCCACACTTACCAAAGGCCATCAGAAACGACTTTTGCTTCAAAAAGTCATTTTCCTAATCAGTATTTTAATCGCATTTTACAGAGAAAAAAATTAAAAAGCTGTAAAAACAGATTAACTTGAGAAGCAAATTGATTTAGAGACTAGAAAAACTATGTTGAAAATATAACACAACCAATTAAAAATGAATACAAATAATTACATAACATGTCATTAATGTAATTATATATATATATAAATATGAAAATGTGTAATGTGTATATAGTATGTGTATATACATATATATATATATATATATATAGATTACAATTACAATTTTAGTTTTATAATCTATAATATAGATTATTATAGTTTATTTTATTTTTTGTTAATTCACCTTTTTTTATTTAGTGAGAATTAATCTCACTAAATTAACACATTTAATTAACACATTTAATTAAAAGCCCTAGTTGAAAATTGAGTTGTTTTAGAGACGAACAAAAATTAATGAATGAATCATTGCAGTCGTACTGCTCCATTTTTAGGCAGCCAAAAACAGTGACGAAAGATAGAGAGAGAGGAAGAGAACAGACAGAGGGTGAGATAAAGAGGTGCAACTGGCAAGTTTAAACTGATTTAAGAAGAAAAAAGCAGCCTCTCTTGACACATATGAGTAGGAGAGCAAAACAGAAGACGTAAGAGATGAAAATGAACCACTGCTATAAATAGATCACAGAAAACAAGCGAGAAAAAAAACTATTAGGAACAAAAAAAGACACAGATTCTTAAAAAACGGCAAGATAAAAAGGAAAGAGTGCATAAAAAGAGATTGACATCAATTAACACTAGCTTCCATTCTAATTATGTCATTGTCTTCGCTACAGTGTCTTGATCGATATGGATGATGACACAGGCATTTTTGAACCGTTTCTGTCGGTCGCGGACTCCCTGACCCTGCGCGTGTCAAACAATTTACCACTTCACCACCGCGTGATGAGAGATGGCAGAGGTTATGCAAGGCCAGCATGATCGGAGCCTGATCTGATTACTCCATCTACACTCCCCTGATTAGCTGGCTTCCTGCTGCGCTAGACACAGCTAGCACTGTCAAAGCCGTCACGCTCTCACATACACACTCCTGTTCTGATAAATTACACGGAAATTCATGATTCATGTTGATTCATGTTTTATTAAGGGTGTTTGTTTTGTTTAGCTAATTTGGTGTTTGGAAATTAACCTGATTTACCATGTTTTTGGCTTAGTGTGTAAAACGTTTCATCATTTTTTGAGCTAGAGAGTGTGTACAGTATGCAAGGAGAAACAGACTAAACAGCATTTAGTCTGTCTGGATGAAGACGCAATTAACACTTTATCCATGGAAAATGAGTGTTGCTTGCAAACTCCTGCCGCTTTCCACAAGAGATAATGACCAGCTAATGCTCCATCTGTTTACATGCCATGACTTGTGATTCTCTGCATAAAACAATCACCAAAGCGCGTGTTTCAGCATTAACCTCTACCTGTCTGGGTTGTAGCCTTCCAGTTCCTCGAGGAACACGTTGTTGCTGGTCACTGTGTTATCCCTGTTGGGGGTGACGAGGAATTTAAGGATGGTCCCTCGGCTGGAACCCAGAAAGAGGACTGTCTGGTTGCCATAAGGACCAGCATTTGTGTCTACCACCATTTTGTTGAGCTGGTATCTGAAAGCGACAGAAGACAACTTAATTAATTCTCAAATGAGGCTGAGAGGAAAAAAGGTATTAAATTGTAAACCAAAACCTCATGCCAAAATAACAAAATGCACAAATCCGAAAAGCAATTTGCATTGACAAACTGGCATATCTTGAGGAAACAGCCAAAACTGCTCTACTAGAATGATTCAGCTCTCTAAAATAGGACGATCTCCCAGAGTGTTTGAAATGACAAACAACTTGTCACTATAATCTTGTTGTGCCCTGTGGGATGCTGAGAAACCCCAGCTGCTGGAACCCCATAGTCTGAAGACTGAGATTGGACAGATACTAATGCTAGCAGATGTCACAGCTGGTCGGTCAAATGTTTAGCATGGATCTTAATGAAGAAAAGAATGATGGGGAGAAGTTAGCAGCTAAATTTAATGCACATTATGTGTTCCTTTGCTTCAAGTTTGTGAAGAATCTGAATGCTGAAGCTTGGTTGAAGTCATTTCTTGGTAGTCTAGAAGGTTGACCTGATAGCTCATCTAGAAGCACTAGTCCACTTTAGACCAATGACAAACCAGAAACCGGGGGCATGAACTGAGAAATAAAAGTTCCCTTGATTTTTTCACATTGTACTATAAAAACATCCTGTAAGTTTTAGAGCTCAAAACTTTCTAGCTAGTCTAAAAACAGCTTATATTGAAGCCAATCTGCAAAAACGTCAGCTTGTGGAATGTGCCACTCTATGATGTAAAAGTGCAACTAGACACTGCCTCTGCAGAAGAAGATCAACGCGTGCTTCTACAACGCTGCCTGTTTAGCCCCACCCACCGATTCACTTATGTAGTGTAAATAACAAGAGAGGCAAACGCAGAAATCAAACTATAAAGATGGCTCTGAAGACAACAGGATGCTGTGCAGTGCCAAGAACAAAGTCTTTGCTTTGCTTTGCTTTCCTTTTGATCAAAAAAAATCTTGATAACATTATAAGGGGGCCGCAGAGAACAGTACTAAAGAATAAGAAAATGCAGTTCATGACCCCTGTAACAGTAGAGAATCTGGTCTAGGACATCTGAGAGAAAGTTGTCCTCACCTGACCATGGTTCTAACAATCCATGGTCTCTGACCAAGTGATGGGACGGCTTCATCCATCAGCGGATGGGTCTTGACAAAAGTTAACATGTCATCAGGGAAAGAATTGGAGGAATTGAACTTGGAGCCTTGTACGGCACAACCACCCGGCCTGAGAAATTCACAAACAAAGCACATTATTATAAACTTTTTCACTGCAGGTTGGCATTTGAGGACATAAAACACTCTCTAGAGTTGTAAATGTCATTTCACTCAGTACCTCGGTTTGGGCACAACCTCATCTGGAACAGGTGTCCATATCGACTCGGGCGATTTCTGCTCTTTAAATCTTCCATCAAACACTCCGGCCAGCTGCTCCATGTCGAAAGCACACACTGCAGAGCCAGGAATACTGCAAAAAAAACAGCACAAATGTCCTTATTACGTGATATCCTCAGACCTGTTCTTTTTCCATGATACTGCTCTGAGCTGGAGGAGGCTTGCAACACAAAAAGGATTTCATTTATCACAAACATGTCGAAAAGACATCAGTTGACAGCCTTGAATAGATCTGTACAGTGGGTAGTTGGACAGACGTTTCAAGGCAAACAGAGCAGAGAATATTGTCCAGAGCTGTCACCGGAAACCTTGGGTGACTGCAAGCTCTTTCACTTACTGACCTTTTCCTCCCACAGAGGATCTATTCAAGAATGCAGCGGTACACAAACGCAACTGTGAGAAACATACTTGGGTTTCTCCAATAATAATACAAGTGGCACAATAGAAAGCCACATGATGAGTCAGAATTCTTCATAAGGTGCCTGTCCATAAACCATGTCCAAGACTCATTTATAGATGGTGTGCAAGGTCACACACACAAACACCATCAGGGTAACACACATGACACTAAAATGGCACAATAACCGTTAACTAAATAAAATAAAATTGTCTATATAAAATATAGTTGTATGTGATGTGTCATGCAGGGAATTAAAAAAATTCACTGATGCTCAAGAAGGCAACATGATGCATTAAGAGCCTGGGGGTGTAAAGTTTATCCATTGGATTAACAGTGTAAATTGCACTTGTTTGTTTTTCTGGGAAACCTAAATATCTTATGTGGTTTCTGAAGGGCAGTACTAAATGAAAAAATATGATCTTTAATCAAAATCCTGTTCAAAAGGTTTCCCTTCTTGAGCATCAGTAAGTTTTTCACCTTTTGTAACAGTTGTGTATGAGTTCCTCAATTGTCCTCATCGTGAAAGATGGATGTCACAATCATACAGTCACTGTTGGAAAGGGTTCAAATATGCAGAAAATGAATGTTTCCATGGATGTTAAAGGTTCTTCATTGAACCACTTATGCCAACAAAGAACCTTTTGTTTTAAAAGTGTGGATTATATGTAAACATCTGTTATGTGACACAGCTTATTCAGGCCAGCACTAAAAAAATAGCATGCAATCTCTTATTTTGTTAAAATTATTAACATCTTGAATAACCTGCAAGAGGTATGTAAATGTATGAGCAGAACTATTTGTTTTTTATGCATATTTTGTGAATTTCAGACATCTCTCGGTTTCTCCACACAGCATTTTTTGATGCAATATCTCAAAATTTGCATAAAAATATGTGGATGGAAACCTGGTTAGTGAGAGCACCTCTCTTTCCTCCTACTGTGAAACAGAGCTTCAATCTCTGAACTGTCCTGAAGTGATTTGTCTCCGGAGAAGCGACAGCTTTCAGCACTTAAAGACTTTCTTAAGAGAGAACAGAGAGTCATGCAGGGTGAGTCAGTTCAGTTCTCGTTTACGCCCACTCTCTCTCTCTCTCTATTTCCTCCTCAGATTTCCTGGCACTGACATACTTTGTAAGTACAAGCCACAGCTGTATTCTGTTGAATCCTTGACACAGGTGAGTCGTTCACTCCCTCTGCATCACTCTCTTGAGCTCTATATCTCTCACAATCTTCTCAGTGCTGAAACTCAGATGCAGACTGCACACAGTATCTTTATGTTCCAGGATTCTATAGGATCCAATAAATGACTCCGAGAGACTGGATGGCAGGTTAAGGTCCGGAAAGAGTGACAGCCACACAAAGTCGCCCATAGTGATCTGGGCTTTGTGGACTATGTAGGCGTGCTTGAGTGTGGCTTGCTGGGTTTGGGAGGGAATTAATGTGAGAGTCTGTAAAGCTTAGGGGCAGAAGCAAGGATAAACAGCTGTCTCCAATAGCATTGTGGGACACATCTGTCACGTCTACCGGTTTTACCCTGTAGTGGGTTTGTATGTGCGTGTGTAAAGCCATAGGCCAGATAGCAGCTGAGAATGAACTTCTGATTGACAGTGCTGAAACTGTTCAGATTCAGCAGACACAGTGACAGGACTTAAACATAAGTCAGGCAATTTTCTGACAAGACCTCATTAGGCTCATATCAGCCTGATCATCAATGTCATCAGTCTGACACACTGCAGACCCTCCAAAAGGCCTGACAGGTGAACAACTTGCAGCAGTGGCAGAACACGAACCCTTTTCAAAACAGAATTTCGTAACTTATACATCTTATGTATGTTTCTTATAACATTTCTTTCATATGCCAATTTAGGTAACACTTTACATTAGGGAACACATTCACAGCTTTCCCTAAACAGACTGCTAATTAGTGGCTTATTGATAGTAAGCAAGGTAGCGGTTGTAGTAGTTATGTTTAGGTATTAGCTAGGATTAAAGGATGTAAAAAGCAGAATAAGGCATTAATATGAGCTTTATAAGTACTAATAAACAGCCTATATGCTAATAAGCAACTAGTATATACTGAATAGTTCTAAAATGTTACCCAAAATTATTTCATACACAAACACAACACAAAAATTATTTTCTAAAACAAAGTTTCTGCTAAACTACTATCGTGTCTTACTTAATCTGTTAAATGTGCTATATTGTATTTGTTTTTGTTGCATTATATTATTAGTCCACTTACAGTGATGGTCAACTATCTTACAGTTGTAATTCAGCTTTACATGACAATTTTCTACTCCCAAACATTAATGTAAATAATTAAATAAAATAACTGTTATAACTGGTTTACCAGAATACTGAGTAGCTCCTGATTGTGACCTCAATATCATGAAGATTTCTAAATGACACATTTCAGAAGATTATTTTCCAAAAAGTACTAAATTTACTTGAGAAGCAACATTTCATAAAATATTAAGACTGACTGTATCTTGAATTTAGTTTTATTTAGTCTTACTGCATCAGCAGAATTGTAACTCATTTTTTACTTGTTTTAGGCAAGTGAAAAAATCTGCCAGTGTAGTAAGAAAATACACTCATAATAAAGATAAATTCTCTGAAAACAAGTCTTCACATTTTATATGTTGCTTCTCAAGTAAATGTATCTTTATCTTGATCTTTAGATATTGGAACTGGAAAATATAACAAAAATTCTCACTAAGAAGAAGATTTTTTAGCAGCATTGGCTGGGGAAGGAGGAGGGAAAATCCTGTTTTACATAATATGAAAAATTTGGAATGACATGAGGTTGAGTAAATGATGACAGAATTATTATTTTTGAGTGAACCATCACTTGAAACAAATCTGTACTATATATATGTCAAATTCAAAGATCAGTGAATGCAATCTGATTGAATTACTGTGTGGTCTGCTACAGCTAAACAGAAAAGTTCCTCTGTGTCTCTTTCTGTGCATCTCATCTTGGAGCTCTGTCAAAACACTTCTCCGCTGCTCATTCCTGTACTTGCTCTCCACCTTTATGAGCCTTCGCTGTCTCCACTCTCTCTTTACACGTCCCTCAGCTGCTTCAAACCTGAGCGTGCGCCTCTCCAGCAGATTCAGGCCATCTTTTATTTTCCCTTCAATCTAAACTCTGCATCCTCCTCCTGCATCCACCATGATCCACTGAGAGGATGATCTCACCTGCAGCCTCTCATTTACAACATTCTCACCCTATCTCTCCTGCCCTGCTTGGAGCCTCAGCCCCACACCTCGAAGCATCAGGAGCTCAAATGAGAAGCAAACACCTCTCTCCTGCTTGCTCTGTTTTTGTCAGAGTGAAAACTGTCTTTTGAAGAGAGAACTATTTTTCACTGTACATGTTTCTTGAGTTGAGATATGTAGTTCTTAAGCGATTCAAATGTTCTTGACCAATACTGATCTGAAGAACCTATATATATATATAAAGAGAGAACCACTGTACATGTTTCTTGAGTTGAGATATGTAGTTCTTAAGCGATTCAAATGTTCTTGACTCTTGACCATCTGAAAAACATATATATATATATATATATATATATATAATTTATCATTTGAGTGACCTCCATAAAAGTCAAGTTAAAGTAAATGTCTGTAATAAAATTAACATAATAACATCACATTGTCTCCTTATGAGACGTTACATAGCTTGAGAAGTAATATATGACCTTAT